AATTTTACTATAAAGGTTACAGAAGATCACTGGGATGACTTCAAAGCCAAATATTATTTCTTTATTGTTCAGTAGAGGACACAAGTTATTCAAACGCAATTGGTTATACTAATGGAAGATTTGGACACTGGCAAACCAGAAACCGTGGTTAGTCAGGTCTAACCCCTCCCACTCCCAGAATGCTTCAGTTTTATTCTAGTGTACAAGGATGGTGGACATCTTTTCTCTACTGAGAGCGGTTTATCTACTTTTTATTAGCTATTTTCTTATTTTCAAGATTAATTTGTTTCTTTATTTAATATTACTTCTACTTTCTGCTGAACTAGGCTTTTATGCAGCTATCTGGATCAGCATATCCTCTAACCACTTGAGAGGCCGTACCTGGACCCCACAAATACTGCAGGGCCTACCTATAATGTGACCTTTTGGGTGTTCTGTATTTATTAGTCGTAGAATGCTTTCCAAGTAAAGAGCCATTGCACAGTCTCTGGTGTGACCCAGTTTCTGATGACTCTTTAATAAGTATGCCATGTAGGCTCGGCATTGGGAATTACTATTCTTATTGGAACCATTGAGCATTCCCCATTGCCCCCCTTTTCCTTTTTGGCTTCCATGGGCAGGGTTAAAGTATGTTACCCCATATTTCTGATATGTGTATGTTGTAACATTTACAAAAAAACTCTAGCCATTTGAATCTCTCTGCTTTCAGTAGCTGGTTTGTGAGTACCATCCATGTTTTTTTACCTGGTATTCTCAATTAAGTTGTCTCTGTGAAACTCTTCAGATCCAAAGTGCTGGGGGAGCAGTACTGCTGCATCAGGGCTCCCCAGCACACTATTCACTAGCCATTCTGAAGTGGCCTACAGTGTAGATCCCCATAGACCTAACACCAACAGCCTGCATCATTGTTCCTTGTCCATATACATTTTATACATTCCCTAAAGTCCACAAAAATGTGGGGTGCCCTCCTGGAAAGCCAGTAATCTCAGGCACAGAGGTAGCCTGTTTGAACAAATTGGTAAATCCATAGACAGAAAGTTGCAACAGCTAGTCATGAAACAACCCTCCTTTTATCTTGGATATAGATGAGGTTTTGTGGAAACTATAGAATTTCACATCTCATCACAGATCACTGTCTTCCTGTGGGTATTGACTTGATTAACATTATAAATCTATCCCACACAATGTAAGCCAATACCAGTTGGTTGGATCAACAGCGTCCTCTGGTTGGGGCCCATAACGAATTCATTGTGGAGTCACTTGAATCTTTTGTACAACTTTTTTATCACTTTTAATGGAAAATAATATTATAGACAAAAACGAGGTTTGGCTTTCAGGAAGTCCATGGTAGGAAATACCCTTCTACACACCACTAGTCATAACCCATTGCCTTTTGCTAAAAGGAATAATTAATGAATGATATGGAAAGTTGGATTTTTATAATTACCTTTTTTAAAATCAGTTTCTTTTGGAGTTCATTAATGGACACAAGTCCCACCCTCTGTGTTTGTTTGTGATCTGCTCCTAGTACTCTTTTGTATGAAAATGAAGCATGCTAGGAGTGGAAGGGATTATACTGGCTTTTTTTTTTTTTTTTTTTTAAATTGCCAGTGTCCTAATTCCAGATCCTCCTGTAGGTGACAGTTCTTTTCTGAATAACTGAATCCTGTTTCCCATAAAACAGAACTAAACTTTCTCGGTCATCATTACCTATTTGTAATCCTTAGGCTCCTTTCACACAGCAGCTCCACTCTGCTCAGCAGGGGATTTGTGACCAGATCCACTGCTGGATTGGAGTGGAACGAATGTTGGTGTTTTGTCATCCGTGCTTGTTCAGTGTCTCCACATTTACAGTGGACAACGGAGGACCTGTCATAGCTCTTTGGGTGGTCAGAGGTAAACATCAGGCTACCTCCAATCCACCACGTTTTAGGTCCTGAAAAAATTAAAAAGGATGCAGGCTGACCTGACTGGAATGCCCCAGTGAAAGGGCCCTTATGCTACTAGGGATGCTAGAGTTGGTACCACATCCAAAATATCTTTGTAGCAAAGAATCGCTCCCTTTTAAGGAGAAAAATGCAGCTTTTACTGGTGCCCAGGGAAGACACAAACAGTTGTAAAATTTATAAAACAAACACTTTATTTACAATGTATTAACTGCTTGCCATCCAGCCACTGCGGAAAAACGGCCACAAGGTGGCACCGTTGGGCAAAATCACGCTTTAAAATGTGATATTGCAAAACAAGTAGGGGGCGCGCCCGCCCTACCCGTGCCGCCGATCGCGGCCACGGGTGTCAATCATCGGGTCCCTGCCGGTCATTACCCACCGGGTCCCGGCGATTGCCAGCAAACAGTGGCACAGAGTACAGCTGCAGTTTACAATGCAGCTCTGCTCCCTGTCAGTTTCCGAGCACACTGATCCCGAGAGAGGAGTTTATCTCTCGAGATCAGTGTGTTCCTGTGAAGCACCCCCCCCCCCCCCCGGCCACTAGTAAAACACTCCCCTCACACAGTTAACCCTTTGAATAAAAAAGTTAACCCCTTCCTCCCCAGTGCCATTAGTACAGTGTCGGTGGTTTTTTTTTTTGCACTGATCACTGTATTGGTGTCACTAGGGATGTCAGTGACCCCAAGTCAGTTTCCCCCCCAGTGTCAAAATGTCCGCCGCAGTCCCGCCATAAGTCGCTGATCACTGTCATAAATCGCTGATCACCGCCATAAGTTGCTGATCGCCGCCATTATTAGTATAAAAAAAAAAATCCCAGTATCTTGACTGCCATTTGTAGACACTATAACTTTCACGTAAACCAATTAATTTACACGTATTGGGATTTTTTTTTAGCAAAGACATGTCGCAGAATACATTTTGGCTGAAATCTATGATGAAATTTGATTTTTAAATTTTTTTGCAGGACATGTTTTTTAGCAAAAAGTCCAAAATGTTGTTTTTTTTCTCAAAATTGTCAGTCTTTTTTTTTTTTTATAGCGCAAAAATTAAAAAAAAACGCACAGGCGATCAAATACCACCGAAAAAAAGCTCAATTCGTGGGGAAAAAGGACGTAAATTTAATTTGGGTGCAGTGTTGCATGACCGCGCAATTGTTAGGTAAAATAACACAGCGCGTTAAAACAAACCGCTTCTGTAACTGCTTTCCTGACCGCCCTTATAGCAGAAATACTGCTACAGGGCGGCATGGGTGCACAAAATCACATATATATACACTTGATTTGTGCTCCCGTGGTTTTCACCCCCCTCTCAGATAGCGTCAGATTGCCCGTCCTTACACCAGTCATCACATTTAACCCCTTGATTGCCAGGAAGACGCTCATGCACAATAAACCTCCATTGCTAGTATAGTGTCTGAACAGATCAATATCTTTGATCAGATCAGCACTATACCAGCGTTCACATTAGTATAGCGTCCCCAAAAATGCAGCGTTAGTTGGATTAGCCCCAGCACCTGCGTTTAGCCCCTATGCTTACCCCCCGCCCTCTCCCCCAGCAAGTGCAGTGTCAGTAGGTCACTGTCACTTGATACATTGCACACAACCGCAGTGTTCGCAGAATCAGTCCTGATCTCTGTTAGCACTTGCCTGTAAATTTTGATGACTCTCATATGCAGCAGAGTGCCAGTACTAGTGCCGCACTACCTTTTGGTGAACTGGCGAGTACCAGCGGTCTAGTACATCTTGGTCTTTCACATACCTCTTAAATTGTAAGCTCCCAAGAACAGGGCCCTCACCCTCTTGTATTGAACTGTATTGTCTCCCGTTATACTGTAAAGCACTGAGCAAACTGTTGGCGCTATATAAATCCTTTATAATAATAATACCAGCACTGCAGTATGACTTGGTGACGTGGCGAGTCCTATAAGTGCAGTACAAGCTGGTGGTGAGCACAAGTATTATCCCGCAGCCACCAAGAATTCGCACACAGGCCCATAGAGCTCCTAGTATCCTTCCGGATGTGCTTGCAAATCCCGATTGACAGCCCACAAATTCTGCAGCACCTGTACTTCTCACATTCACTGCCCAACCCGGAATTCAGGTGGAAATAGCAAATTTAACTACTCCCCTTGATTTTTGGAGCTGTTTTTCACGGAATATCTGTATGCATTGATTGTGGATCAAAGCAATTTATATGCACAACAATTTATCGCCGCCAACCCAAATTCAAACCTTACCAGACCAGTCACATGGAAACTCATTACGGTTTCCGAATTTACATTTTTTTGGGGTCTAACCCTCAGCATGGACATTACTAAAATAAATGAATTGTGGTTGTATTGGTCCCCAGACCCGATTCATCATATGCCGTGTTCTCTGCTGCCATGGCCAGGCATAGATATGAGAGTATAATGTGTTTTATGCATTTTAATGACAATACACTCTGTCATCCTCGGGGTGACCCTGAATTTGTCATTTGAATTTGTCATTTGAATTTGTCATTCCACAAAATTCAGCCCCTCGCAAATCACCTTAACCAAAAATTTGCAGATGTCTATACTCCCCAGCAAAACATCTGTGTTGATGAGTCCCTCATTAATTTTTCTGGCCGCCTTGCATTCAAACAATTTCTCCCCAGCAAGCGTGCAGATATGGGGTCAAAATGTAGAAGACCTGTGAGAGGACAACAGGCTATACTTATAAGTTTCAGATTTACGAGGGAAAAGGGTCACGTGGAGCCCCCCAGATGCCCAGACTACATGGGGAGTAGTGGCAAGATAGTTTGGAACTTGGTGTCATCCCTTTTTTTCCATATGGGGTACCACTTATACGTGGACAATGTTTATTCAAGCGTGCCACTATTTAGAACATTTGTACAATCTTGGAACTGGCGCATGTGGCAAAGTGAGACCTAATGTGTGCCCACCATTAGAAGTGGGTGGATGCAGGGCAGTATAATCTAATGGTGGGCATACCACACACTTTTTCTGGCAGAGATTTCTACTCTTTTTTTTTTTTTTTTTTTTTTTTTTTTTTTTTTTTTTTTTTTTTTTCATTCAGTCCACAGGCTGCATACAAAAAAAAAAAAAAGAACTTGGCATATACACCCAACAAGGACCAGCGACGTACTGGTACATCACTGGACTTTGAATGGTTATACAGCTGCAGGCATCATCCTCGTATCATTTTTTTCAGCCAGCAATCAGCTTTCATGTAAAAACAATCCTAGTGGCTAATTAGCTGCAGGATTGCTTTTACAATATGATGCCCTCCCCCGCTGCCTTCCACGGCCTTCTCGGGCAGACCCGTGCCATCGTGGGAACTTGAGAATGCAGCCAGTGTTTGTCAGCTGACGATAGAGCTGATTGGAGACCAGAGTGGTGCCAATCATCTCTATAGTCTAAGAATTCGGAAGCTACGAGCATTTCATAACTTCAGTTTTGCAGGATATAAACAGCGCCATTTGTAAATTGGGAAAGCATCTGATCACACTGATTTTTATTTGATTAGATAATGTAAGAGCAGAGGAGATATCTAGAGCCTGATAGACCCCAGATTTCTCAAAAAAGAATATATGACAATGGCCATTGAAGTTACAGGAGATATTGGCATTCCCTGTGATAGCATTAAAAGTGATCAAAAAAAAAAAAATGAAAGGTACAGTGTAAAAATAATTAAAAAAATCAAAATAACTTGCCCCTCCCATGCACGCACACCTGTGTGCACAAGCGGTGACCCTGTGCTGGTATGTAAACAGCGGTTGCACCATACATGTGAGGTATCGCCGTGAACGTTAGATCAAGGGCAGTAATTCTAACACTAGACCTCCTCTGTAAATCTAAAATGGTAGCTTGTGTAAAGGCTTTTAAAGCGTTGCCTATGGATATTAAAAATGTATGCAGTTTGTCGCCATTGCATGGGGCATGCACAGTTTTAAAGCATGTCATGTTTGGTATCTATTTACTCGGCATACCATCATCTTTTATATCTTGCCAAATAATTTGTGCATTAAAAGTAAAAAAAAGTGTATTTTTTTTTTTTTTTTTAACTTCTGAAAAATCGCTGCGCGAGTACTATGTGCCATAAAAAATTGTAGTACCCACCATTTTTATTCACTAGGGTGTCTGCTTTAAAAAAAATATAATGTTTGGGGTTTAAATTAATTTCCTAGCAAAAAATACTGATTTTATTTTCATGTGAACAAAAAGAGTCAGAAAAGGCTTGATCTTCAGGCGGTTAGAAGAGTGAGTGATGTGTGGCATAAACTTCTAATGCTAGGCATAAAACGCCCACCCCCCAAAATGACCCGTTTGGAAAGTAGACACCCCAAACTATTTGCTGAGAGGCATGTTGAATCAATAGAAGAATTTATGTTTTTACCACAAGTTTTTGGAAAATGACAATTTTTTTTTTTTTTTTTTACACAAAATTGTCAACTAAATGATTTATTGCTCACACAATCATTACATTACATTTACATTACATTGAGTTTATATAGCGCCAAAGGGTTTGCTCAGCGCTGTACAATAGAGGGGGGGACAATACATGAAACATTACAGCAGTTACGAACAGCACACGAGGGGTAAGAGGGCCCTACTCTTTCGAGCTTACAATCTGGGAGGGAGGGGGTAGTGGTACAGGAGGAAGTGGCTGTGGGGGATGGGAGTGGTAGGTGGAATGAAGGAGAGCAGCAGTTAGGTGAGGGTGGGGTAGGCTTCCCTGAAGAGGTGGGTTTTCAGGGAGCGCCTGAAGGTGAGGAGGGAAGGTGACAGTCTGATGGATTGGGGGGGTAGTGAGTTCCAGAGGATGGGGGAGGACCTGGAGAAGTCTTGCAGACGTGCGTGTGAGGAGGGAGACCAGGGAGCAAGATAGAAGGGTGGTCCTGTGAAGAGCGAAGGGTACGGGTAGGGTGGTACTTGGGAATCAGGTCGGTGAGGTAGTTAGGGGCAGTGTTGTGAATGGCTTTGTAGGTCAGAGTGAGTAGTTTGAATTTGATGCGTTGGGCGATAGGGAGCCAGTGGAGGGAGAGGCAGAGGGGGGGTGGCAGAGGTGGAGCGGGCTGGTGAGGTGGATGAGTCTGGCAGCTGAGTTCAGGATGGTCTGAAGCGGGGGGGGGAGAGAGTTTTGCACTGGGTAGGCCGGTGAGGAGGGAGTTTGCAGTAGTCAAGGCGTGAGATTATCAGGGAGTGCACAAGTAGTTTAAGCGGGTGTCTGGGGTAAGGAAGGTGCGTATTTTGGCGATATTGCGGAGGTGGAGCCTTCATGTGTTGTTTGTCAGTGATTTGACATGAGGTTGGAAGGAGAGGTTAAGAGTCCAGAATGACCCCAAGGACTTTGGCTTGCGGGGCGGGATTGATTGGTGGTGATGTTAGTAGTGATGGATAGGGATGGGGGGGGGGGGGGGGGCGCGGGCAGGAGGGAAGACGAGAAGCTCGGTTTTGGAGAGGTTGAGTTTGAGGAAATGGAGCGACATCCAGTCAGAGATGTCGTTTAGGAGGTGGAGTGATGCGGGGGGGCGGGCGGAGAAAGTGTGGAGGTGAGGTGAGGGGGTGGAGAGGTAAATTTGAGTGTCATCAGCATAGAGATGGTAGTTGAAGCCGTGGGAGTGTATGAGTTTGCCAAGGGAGGAGGTGTAGATGGAGAAGAGGTGAAGGGGTCCAAGGACAGAGCCCTGGGGGACCCCAACAGAGAGGGGGAGGGAAGGGGAGGTGGCACCATTGTAGGAAACGCTGAAGGAGCGTCGGGATAGGTAAGAGGAGACCAGGAGAGAGCGGTGTCTCTGATGCCAAGGGAGAATAGTTTATTAAGGGGAGGGGGTGGTCAACTGTGTCGAAGGCCGCGGAGAGGTCCAGGAGGAGGAGGACAGAGTAGTCGCCTTTGGCTTTGGCGGTAAGGTAGGTCGTTGGTGATTTTGAGGAGGGCGAGGTTTCGGTGGAGTGTAGGGGACGGAAGCCGGGACTGTAGTGGATCAAGGAGGTTGTTGTGTCAGTTAGGTGGGCGCTTAGGCGGGTTGTAGATTAAGCGCTCCAGGAGGGTTTGGAAGAGAGTGGCAAGCAGGGAGAGGGGGGGTCTGAGGTTGTTTGGGTCAGAGGGGTCCAGGGAGGGCATTTTGAGTATGGGGGTGATGTGCGCATGCTTTAGGGGGGAGGGGAATACGCCGGTAGAGAGGGAGAGATTGAAGATGTGGGTGAGGGAGCAGATGAGGGAAGAGGGGGGTGACTGGGATGGGTCGCGAGGGGGATAGGGTCTAGGGGGCAGGTAGTGAGGCGGGCTTCAGAGAAGACCCTGGTGACTTCCTCAGTGGAGTTGCGGGGCTGAAGGAGTGCAGAGCTGGTGGGGTTACGGTAGCGGGGTCTTGGGTGTGGAGGGGGGTCAGTGCGGATTGCGAGGTCAGAGGAGGGAAGAGATGAGGGGGAGTTAGGGGGGGGGAGGCTAGGTGGGGGGTAGATTGCGGGTTGACTATGTCCTGACGGATAGCATCAATTTTATTGTGGAAATGAGTGGCAATCTCGTGGGCGGTGGAGTGAGGTACTGAGTGGGGAGGAGGGGGGGGAGAGAGAGGGGGGGGTGGAAGGTGGAGAAGAGTCGGCGGTTTGGGGGGCAGGAGGGGAGAGGGTGTTAATCAGGTTTAGTAGTAGTAAGCCTGCTTGGAGGCGTGGAGGGGAGGAGGTGTAAGTGAGGAAGGCAGATTGGTAGAGTGGGAGAATGACGGGGGGGACCTGGTTTTGTGGCGGCCATTTGTCTCTCCAGCGCACGACTGCGACGGTTTGAGGCATTTAGTTTGTGGGTCGTTCTGCCGGGGGGGGGGGTGGGGGGGGGGGTGGGGGGGGGGGGGGGGGGAGGGGGGGGGGGGGGGGGAGGTTGGTGGAAGAGGAAGAAGGGAAGCCAGGCAGCGAAGTCATCCAGGAAGCGGGGTATGGATCCAGGAGGCCTGTAGATCACTGCGATCCTTAGGGGGGTGGGTGAGAAGAGCCGGATGCAGTGAGCCTCGAAGGAGGAGAAAGTTAGGGAGGGAGGATTAGGGAGGACCTGGAAGGTGCTCAGCGGTGATAGGAGCAGGCCGACCCCACCACCTTTGTGACCGCTCACTGTCTTGGTGAATGGGACCCAGACGAGACCTCCATAGGAGAGTGCCGCAGGGGAGGTGGAGTCAGTGGCACAGTCAATCAATGTTGGGTATATGTGGAATTACTCCCCAAAATACATTCTGCTACTTCTCCGAGTATGGGGGGTACTCCACATATGAGAGACGTTTTGGCAGTCTAGCCCAAGTACAGGACCCAAATGCAAATATGCACCTTCAGGCTTTTTAAAGGACTATTTTCTCACTACACTCAGTCTACCTATCACAGTTTTGGAGGCCCTGAAATGCCAGGATAGCACCTAACCCCCCAAATGACCCTTTTTGGAAAGTAGACACCCCAAGGAATTTGATAAGAAGCATGGTGAGTATTTTGCAGATCTCATTTGTTGCCACAAGTTTGTTGCCAAATGAAGAAAAAAACCAAAAAACATATTTTTTCAGTTTTTTTTATATTTCAAAACCTTGTGAGAAAAATGATGAGAATCTGCAAAATACTCAACATACCTCTTTTTAAATTTCTTGGGGTGTCTACTTTACCAGAAAGGGGTCATTTGGGGGGGGGGGGGTTGGTGCTATCCTGGCATGTCAGCGGCCTTCGAAAACTGTGATAGGTATTGAGGAAGTGAAATGAGGAAGTGAAATATGAGGAAGAAATGAGGAAGCACCTTCAGGCTTTCAAAGTGGTCATTGGATTTCAGGCTCCTGTATGTGGTAGGCTCCCAGAAAAGTCTCAAATGTGGTATGCCCCATACTCGGTAGAAAGTAGCAGAATGTATTTTGGGATGTAATTCCACAGTTATACCCATGGTTTGTGTGAGAAATAAATATTTAAATGACAACTTTGTGTAAAAAAAAAAAAAAAAAAAAGTTTGTCATTTTCCAGAATCTTGTGGAAAAAAAAAATAAATCTTACATGGACTCAATATGCCTCTCAGCAGATGGCTTAGATGTAGAGTGTGTCTACTTTCCAAAAAGGGGTCGTTTGAGGGTGTTTGTACTATCAACCTGGTTATTTTAGCATCTCAAGAAATGTGATAGGCAGTCAGAAAGTAAAAGCTGTGTAAATTCCATTATCTATAGACCATAGTTTGTAGACGCTATAACTTTCACACAAAGCCAATAAATATTACACTTACTGGGATTTTTTTTTTTTAACCAAAAAACATGTAGCAGCATACATTTTGGCATAAATTTGACAAAAGTTTAGTTTTTTTTTTGGATATTTTTTATATCCGAAATGAGAAAATATTTTTTTTTTAAAAAAAAACAAATTTTCTTCAAAAAACTTTTCTGTTTATAGCTCCAAAATAAAAAGTGCACAGGTGATCAAATACCACCAAAAGAAAGCTCTATTCGTGGTGAAAAAAAGGACATAAATTTCATTTATGTATGCCGTTATGCATTGACCCGCGCAATTGTCCATTTAGCGCAGCGCTGTATATAGCAAAAAAAAAATGGCGTAAATTCCATTATCTATTACCATATTTTGTAGTAGACGCTATAACTTTCACACAAAGCAATCAATATACACTTATTGGGATTTTTTTTACCAAAAAAATGTAGCAGAATACATTTTGGCCTAAATTTTATAACTAACTTTGAGTTTACTATATATTTTTTATAGCTGAAAGTACAAAATAATTGTTTTCCTTCGAAAACGTTCTGTCTTTTATTGTTTTGATAGCGTGAAAAATAAAAAGCGCACAGGTGATCAAATACCACCGAAAGAAAAACTATATTTGTGTGTGAAAAAAAGGACGTAAATTTTGTTTGGGTGCAGCATTGCAATGACCGCGCAATTATCAGTTGAATTAGTGCTGCGCCGAGTAGTAGCAAAAAAGAGGCCTGGTCATTAAGGGGGGTAAATCCTCAGGAGTGCAAGTGGTTAAAAGAGCACAATATAAAAACTGGGAACTAAATACTCCCATACATTAGTATACAATTTAATTTTCCATTACCAAATAACAAAAAGGGGTTTTTACATATCTTTGGAATAAGGTAGGTCAAAAGTGTTCAAAAAATTGCTTTTAAGGAAGAATGGACCTAACCCCATAGAGCAGATGGAAATGGGCATCAGTTGGTTGCTGCCAGTAGGCTCAAAAACATACTGTATTATCATGATCACTTCAGCATGAAGCTGACTGAGCAGCAAAAGAATGTAATATTCCATACCATTTTTATCTGTTTCACTAGAATACATATGCTTAGGAAAACATTGTTAAAGAAGTACAGCTAAAGGTCTTTTGGGTGTACTTCTGTGGATCAACAGGAGTGCAGTTCGTTCACTCCTGAGTGACCCATTTGCAGCTGACTGTGGGCTTAAGCTCGCTGTCGGCTGACGTCACTCAGCCGGTCCACACTGGGGGGGAAAGATCCCAACTTTAAAGTTGGGATCCATCCCAGTGTTCCAGTGAGCGCTGGGGGGGTGGGGCAGAGCAGACATCAGTGACTGACCTTCATGGCTCTCTGCTCAGAGCTGGCTGTTGGTTCTCACACTTAGAGCTGGCGGGGGACAGATGCAGCATTGGACGGTTGCTGCATAGGTAAGTATGATTGGGGAGGGGGGGAAGCCCATACTTCTCTTTTTAACAGAGGTAACTTGATTTATGTCTTACAAAATGGACAAAAGGAACATTGAAAGAACCAAAAGTATAAGTATGAGGGTCGGCACCCTGCAATGGCGCCCCAGGATGCCGCCTCAGAGCCCTCCAATATAAGGCAGGTACTTATGACATTTAGGAGTCTGTTGGATATCAGCCTTATGCAGGTGATGTATTTAAAAGAAGAAAAAATCTCTTATCCATATAGACCCCCTTTGGCAAGATAAAACCTCTGCGTGGAACTGTTTTTTTTTATCCTTTAGATTTCTTCAGTTGGTTTCTGGCCTAGGCTGGAATGTCATACATCACATATGTCTTCATGGGCATTTCTGTCTCATCTGGAGAAGGGGCTTTCTCGGCTAAGCACACCTGCCTGCATTCTTGAGATGCTAGATGGATTCCAGGAAGTAAATGTTACATTAATCATCTTCCCTTACTCAAGATGGCCAGAGCTAGATATGCTAGGGGGGTGCAAAGTGAAGTCTCAACAAAATAAAGCACAGAGACATGAATAATTGGGTTAATTTAATTTGAATATTAAAAAGTGTTTTCAGTTTGTGGTCCTCAGATACAGTTTAGTTGTGCTGTAAAGTGGTAGTAAAGCAAGATAGTTATGACAGAAGAGACCCTGTCACTCTCTTCTGCCATAAAAGCTTCCTGCTGCCTATCAGCTGTCATGTACACTGAGCCTCACACGCGCAGCTCAATGGACATTTAGGTCCCCCTATCTGTGCCACAGCGATGTGACTCCCACATACGTGCGCAGAACAGAAGTGATGTCATTGCAGCCCGGCCATTTAAGTGGTGAAGACACAGAACCTGAAGGGACGATGGGGCAAAGATCGACAAACCTGGGACCTGCAGGATTGATCACACCACAGCGCTGGAGGACTACTTTGGCAGGCAAAACTTCCATTATATTAATTTCACTGTAAGTACATAAATATCTTATTTTTAACATGAAATGCTGTTATTTGAACTGTAACCTTATAACAACAGAGCTGCTTAGCAGCTCCTTAGAGTTTACATTTCATAAGCAACAGTGCAGCTTTCACAGTGCAAGTAAGCTGTGCACCAGGCAGGCTATCCATATGGACCCCATGAATAGTGTGTATTGCGGCCTTAATATTTACGGATACCAGTGAATTCAGTCATTCATTGTCTAAAACCTTGGACAGTTGCACAATATAAAACAATCCTGTACTTCCATCTTCTTTCTCTAAGTAAACATATATAAATATATTGTAGTTATCTGGTGACATTAATATACCTTTTTATATTCTTTTGTTTTCCCATAGATTCTTGCAGCACCTGAACACCAGCTGCCTTTCACTACCAACTTCTAGGGAGTCTCGCACAGTCCTCCAACCTTTGGAGTGCTCCTTGTAAGTTAATTTCAAGGAAATGGCTGGAAGAGGAGCAGCAAGGCCGAATGGTCAGTCACAGGCCAGTAAAATCTGCCAGTTCAAGTTGGTGTTGCTGGGTGAATCTGCAGTGGGCAAATCCAGTCTGGTGTTGCGTTTTGTCAAGGGCCAGTTTCATGAATTCCAGGAGAGCACAATTGGAGGTAGGTGAAGCAAAGGAATAGTGGTTTCTGGAAATGTTGTAAGCTGTATTTCCTTGTCCTCTTACATGCCACGCTTCTTTATTTCAAGTTATTAAGACCAAGTCAAAAGAAATGTGTTCTTACATTTATAAAAATAAAAATAAACATAGTGTACATACTTACTGTTATTACTGCAATGCTGCAGCTGTCCCACTTTGGGAATTGGGGGGGGGGGGGGGGGGGTGGGGAGAATCTCCTCTTGCCTCTCAGCCGCATCTTGAGATCTGGAGCCAGCTATTAGTCAGGCAGCACTAGTCAGGCACTATGTTTGTGATCCTTCTAGTGCCTGGAGTGGCTCTGCCATGTCAGCTGACAATGGGCAACAGCCCATTGACATGGGTCATAGGAGTGAAAAAACAAGAGCACTCACAAAAGAGGGACCCACAAAAGAAGTATGGCCAGAAAAGCTTTGGCCACACCTTCTCGTTTAAGTTTATACTTCCTGTATACATATTTTATAAATAGTTTGTTTTCTGTGCAGTATCTACAAAATATAATTGTAATCCTTTTATTTTTTATTTTCTTTATTTTTTTCTCTTTTAGCTGCATTTCTCACACAGTCGGTTTGCCTGGATGACACAACAGTAAAATTTGAGATCTGGGACACAGCGGGACAAGAGCGATATCACAGTCTGGCTCCTATGTACTATAGGGGCGCACAAGCTGCCATTGTGGTCTATGACATCACCAACCAGGTATATTTTGAAAGGAGTAATTGCTGTTCATGTTTTCTGTAATATGATTTACAGACACCAGGCTTAAATATGTCGGGTTTTTGGAACCTGTATAATGAGTTAGTAAATACAGATTAAACTTTATAAAATCATTTTGCTAAAAATTGTTAGAATTTTGAAATTACAGTGGTACCTCGGTTTACAAATGCCTCGGTTAACGTAATTTTCGGTTTACGAATGAAAATCCATTGAAAATAATGCCTTGGTTTATGAATTTTCTACTAATGGTTTTTGCAATACGTAGTGTATGTCGGTGCTGATTTTTAAAAGCAATTGCCGGCGCTTTTTTTTTTTTTTTTTCACTATAGCTCACAAGATTAGCTTTCACTTTCCCCGGAGTTACAGGAAACTTTGTTCTTCATTAATTTCTGTGTACCCGCTGGGTGGATTCACCCTCACTATTGGTCTCATTGATTTGTCACCAGAAATGAAGGTGAAAAAAAATTGAGGACACACATTCCAGTGACAGCTAAGGGCACATTCACACCAGTTGCGTTGTGGTAATGTGCTAAATGCCATTGTGAATAACACCCCCCCATCTCCAAAATTTACAGGCAATATAGCAATGTCTTGTGCATTGCATTGACTGCAAAACAAATGCAGGCATAATCTATTTTCTATGTATTGAGGTACATTGCAGCCCATTATTTTGATTGGAAGGCCTACTGCAGCACACCACAATACACACCCAAACTCATGCACTGAAGCCCACTGCATTAAGGTGTGAATGGGGCCCTAAGAAAGGAAATCTCCTTGATTTTGGAGAGATCTCCTATTACTTAGTGCCATATTTCTGGAACAGAAAGTGAAGTGAAATCTCCCCACCAGGACACCTGGGACGGGTCAATCCCGTTTGGGCTTTTTATTCAGTGAAAAATAATCATTTGTATAGTCTCCTTTTGCAAACCTTGATTTTTTTTTTTTTTTTTTTTTTTTTAAATTCAGGTAGGCATGGGACTGAAAATGTGTTTGATATACTCTTTAAGAATTGTATTCTGGGCTGGTATCATTTTATATGGTCGGTTTTTCAATATCTCAAGCCTGGTTCTCACTTATCACTGTGTGCCTTGCGAGCTGCTGTGTGTATACCAATACAAGTTCTAAGTTCCTAACAGAAAAGAATATATCATGTGAAGCAAAGAAACTAAAATTTGAAATAAAAAAATATAGAAATAAGTAAAGAACTATATCATGTGCGCTACAAAAAAACGGAAGGCTACCAGCAACTAATCACCACATATGACTTGTACACATCAGTACAAACATAATATCCTAGTTAGTGCTGTGTTGGGCAACTATTAGTGTGCAGAATTATTACGCAACTAAATGAAAAACGAAAATTTTCTATTCTCAGATGTTTATTATTCTCACTTTAACAGATGAAAATAAACAACTCAAAATCTACAAATAAACATTTCTGATATTTCAAAAATAAATAATCAGTGTCCAATATAGCCACCCTTCTTTTCAATAACTGTCATAAGGCTTCCATTGATGGAGTCTGTCTGTGTCTTGATCTGTTGACAATCAGCAACCACAGCCTTTCAGACAGTGTTCAGAGAGGTGTATTGTTTTTTTTTTCACCATAAATCTCCCGTTTAAGCAGGGCCCACAAGTTTTTAATAGGGTTTAGGTCAGGTGAGGAAGGGGGCCATGTCGTCATTCTTTCATCTTCAAGGCCTTTACTGGCTAGCCACATAGTGGAGTACTTTGATGCATGCAATGGTGCAAGGTCCTGCATAAATATCAAGGTTTTCTTGAGATATGCAGACTTTTTCCTGTACCACTGCTTGAAGAAGGTGCCTTCTAAAAACTTGCAGTAGGTTTGGGAGTTGATTTTAAGTCCATCTTCAGCCCGAAAAGCTCCATCTAGCTCATCCAGCCCATACCAGTACTCCACTCCACCTTCCTAGCATTTGAATCAAAGTGGAGCTCTGTGCCCTTTTACTAATCTAGCCACAGACCCATCCATCTGGTCCATGAAGAGTCACTCTCATCTCATCAGTCACACATTTTATTACTGAACACTCAGTGGGAGGTCAGAATGCTAAGATGAGAGTGCACAGCGTGGTTTGGTCGAACACAGACGTGGAAATGGTATTTGGCACATCAGCACAGCACATCTCTGATGAACTGATGATTTTTGATCTTTGATTTTTGATTTCTTGGCTTTATATGCAGAGTTTGTTTGTGAATACAGGCATTTTTTTGCTTATTTATTTACATCCATATATGTCACTGATTATATATAGCATTGGGAGAATATATATTCACAGGTTTATCAGTGCAGCATTAACTAGGATATTCTGGTTCTCACTATTGTGTATGCTAACCATATACCAAATGTACTACTGGTGTGAAATTACCTGACCAGTCTATTATCTTAATTGTGTCCTCAACCTGTCTTCTGCTGGCTACACTTTGATGTATTCTGTTAAAGGATAATTTCACCTTTTGACAAAAAAATAATAAATGCACGTTTTGCAGGTAAAAAAATGTGCTTTTATTTTTTGTTGCAGAAGCCTGTAAAGCATTGCACTAGCAATCAGCAGATCACTGTTGCCATGCAGGTCTCCTGGAGACCTGTCCGTATATCTCCTTGCCCGTACGGGATGTAGAATCAGTGAACTGTCATGGTGCTCCACAGCCACTAAGGGACTTGCAGTTCATTCATTCACAGAACTCTGTGAATGAATGACGTGGCCCTGTGGGCAGAGCCCTGCATGGCCGCACTGTTATTGAAAAGTGTCAGCTAGTATGGGGAGCTTCTCCCTGTACTGCAGTCACAGGGAGTACAGGGATTGGGCAGCTGCTGTAGCATTGGGAACATATTGCATGTTCCACCCTACAAATGGGTGGAACATGTAACATGTTCCCAAAGGTGAATCTATCCTTTAATAATTAAAAACAACTAAACTTGTAGCTCTATCGAGATACTTTCTAACCATCTTAATTCAATTGCCCCTCCACCACAGTATATCAGCAGTAGGTTTTGAAAGATATTCGGTTTCCCATTTCTCTGGAAATGCCATCTAAAAGGAACTATATAATAGCTTTGTTTTTTTTGTTTTTTTTTTTTTTTGTGTTATGACAGGAATAAAAATAACATTTCTAAAAAGATCTCATGTTAGGTAGATATGAAAGTTTGCATATTAATATTTGTATATTTTTATCCAGTAGATGGAGCTGTAGTCCTTTCATGTCTTCCAGAGACTAATTAACATAGAAAAATCATAATGGTCCCTGAAGGCTTTGTCATGTGTAAATATTTATTAAACAAAGATTGTTTTGTAAGGAAAGATAAATATAAATATAATTTTAATAACTCAAGAAAAAAAAAATTTGCCCTAAAACTAATATTGTTGTATTGTAAAGTCTACCTCTTGTAAACTTTTTTCTTTAATTCTTTATTTTGAATTTTTCATACATGGACAAGAAATGGACATAACATAGCAGTACAGCTTAAGGCAGGCCATAGATGATGTGATTTTCTTTTCTGCAACCACTAACGCAATCAGTGTTGATGGGAGAATCCTTCCCGCTGAGCTATTTTGTTCTCCCTGTAGGGGTGGGTTTAGGGGTATGGGAAGCTGTCCCTGCTGGGAGAACACAGTGATTATTGCTAGAGGCTATAGCCGCTTGCAATAATTGCCTGCTAGAAATTCAACATGCTGGTTGTACCCAAGTTCATTGATGGATATACTTGGGTACACTCAGCCTGCTCATATATGGATCATAACTCAGCTGGTCCCTGCTGAACTGGCCGATATTTGAGCCGTCTATGGCCAGCTTAAGGGGTTTACCAAATTAAGACATTAACTATATAACGCTAGGATCCATATCATGTAGAAAAAAATTCCGTATTTGTATAATGTCTTGTAGCATGGAACAGTGTCTTCCTGTTATGAGAAGAGTAAAGCATGTAAACCGATACGGATTCAAGATAATTAGTGGGAATGAAAAGAAGGGTAGATTGGGTTGGGGAAAAAGTAGGGAGGTGCCAGGGCAAGTCCCCTCATAATAAGAACAGTAAGACTTATCAAACTTTTATTTTGTTTTATAGAAAATAAATAAGGCCTAAAATTCCCACCATGCTGTTATTTCTGTTTGTGACCCCATTCTGTCATAGAATAAATATAGTGAGTGGTTGTCACCAGGTTAGGAATGCCTAGATAGCAATAAAAACATTATCAAAAGTTCCTACCCCTTTACTCTGCTCACCTCCCCTCCAGGGATGTAGTGTCCTGGGGCATCAGACACTGACATCTTTGGCCAGTCTTCTTCCGGGTTCTAGTCTTAAGCGCTGGTTCACATATATACAAATTGGGTATGTTTTTGAACCGCATCCAGTTCGCATAAGTTCAACCATTCTGGCTTTCTATGGAGCCAGCTTACATACAGTCATGGCAAAAAACTGTTGGTACCGCTGCATTTCTGTCAGATAATGCACCCCTTTGCCGAGAAAATTGTTGCAATTACAAATGTTTAGGCATTCTCATGTTTATTTCTTTTGTTTGTATTGGTATGACACAAAAAAAAGTGGTGAAACAAAAAGCCAAATCTGACACATTCAATGCAAAACCCCAAAAATGGACTGGACAAAATTTATTGGCACCTTCTCAAAATTGTAAGAAATAATTGCGTTCCAAGTTTGTGATGCTCCTGTAATTTTGGTATTAAACTCGCCTGTATCAATTAACAGGTACTGACAATATAGAAATCACACCGCAGCCAGTTTGGTGAAAAATTGACTCAACCTATCAGTTGTTTGTCTCTGTGTGCCACATGGAGCATGAAGAAGAGCAAGAGCAGCAAAGAATTATATGAGGATTTGAGAACAAAAATTGTGGAAAGCATGGATTAGAAGTCCATCTCCAGAAATCTTAATAGTGTGTCCACTGTGCGTAACATTGTCAATAAGTTTGCAGTCCATGGCACTGTAGCTAATCTCTGGATGTGAAAAAGAGAATGAAAGAATGTTTGAATGGTGGATAAAGAACCTCGATCAACTTTCAGACAAATTCAAGCTGACCTTCAGACACAGGATACAACTGTGTCCGCTTGCACTATACGTCACCATCTGAATGAAAATGAACGCTATGGTAGGAGACCCAGGACGACCCCACTGCTGACACAGAATTATAAAAAAGCCAGATTGGAGTTTGCCAAAACTCACCTGAGGAAGCCAAAATCCTTTTGGGAGAATTGTGCTATGGACAGAAGAAACAAAATTACAGCTTTTTGGTAAAGCACATCATTCTGCTGTTTTCAGAAAAAGCGATGAGGGTTTTAAAGAAAAGAATACAGTCCCTACAGTCAAACGTGGTGGAGGTTCACTGATGTTTTGGGGTTACTTTGCTGCTTCAGGCACTGAATGTCTTGACCGTGTGCATGGCATTAGGAAATCTGAAGACTAGCAAAGAATTCTGGGGTGTAATGTAGGGCCTAGTGTACAGATAGTTGGGTCTCCCTCAAGGGTCATGGGTCTTACAGCAGAACAATGACCCAAATCACACATAAAAAAGCACCAAGAAATGGTTTAAGACAAAGCGCTCAAGAGTATAGAACTAGCCAGCAATGAGTTCAGATCTCAGTCCTATAGAGTACCTGTGGAGAGATCTCAAAACAGCAGTTGGGAAAAGGAACCCTTCCAATCGGAGAGACCTGGAGCAGTTGGCGAAAGAAGAGTGGTCCAAAATTCCAGTAGAGAGGTGTAAGAAACTCATTGATGGTTACAGGAAGCCATTGATTTCAGTTATTTTTTTTCATGGGGTGTGCTACCAAATATTAAATCGAGGGTGCCAAAAATGTTGGTCAGTCCATTTTTGGGGTTTTGCGTGGAATGTGTCAGATTTGGCTTTTTGTTTCTCTACTTTTTTGTGTCATACCAATGTAAACAAAAGAAATATGAAAATGTCAAAACATTTGTAATTTCAACAATTTTGAGAGAAGTGGCGCATTATCTCACAGAAATGAAGGGGCGCCAATATTTTTGGCCATGACTGTATGTGCAGGCCAGCCGCAGTGCATTTTTAAAAAGAGTCGGGTACGATTTTCAGTCAGGTTCAGGTGTGATTTCAAGTGTCATAAACTTTAAAAATTTGCACCTGAACCACTGAATGAAACGGCACTGAAAGCCAAAATCTTTGAAACATCGTACCGAGAGACTGGCCCCGCACATATATTAACCCAGTCATATTGTACATTTCAGAGAAGCCAGTAAGAATATTTTCATGCAAAGGGGACGTTTGTCTCTTCTGCATTAAAAATCCTGCCTGTTCAAAAATATCTATTTACTGAGATAAAATTAAAACATAAGTTTCAATCTTTTTGTAAGTGTACGCTTTAACTAAAATATCTGTTCTGTAATGAAGGTCCTTGTTCAGGCATTTACTGTTTTTGGTGACAGGGTTTGCCTCTGCATGGTTGCCCTGTCACATGCATGCCTGGTGGCTACAAATGGCCATGATGACAATCAAACCAGTAATTCTCTTTGATTTTCTGTTTATAAGATCGGTGGCTGCTATGCCTCCTATCCCCCCCAACCACTGGTCTTGGCACATCCCTTCTGTATTTCTTTCTCCAGGTAGAAGTGATGCAATTCAGCCCTAATTCCAGTGGTGGGCAGACCGAGACTCTCAGACACATTAAACATGTACAGGCCTAGTGTCCTCACCCACATTCACTACAATTACCTGTGGTTGATAGGAACTGTAGTTTCCGTTTACTGCAGAGTGAGGGGAGGATATGTAATCCCTGCTGTTATACCTCCTCCTTGGCAAAGCAGATGCTGTTATCTTTTGAATTATAGAGACGAGGTCATGAAAAGTCAATTAGACTTTTCAACTAAATGGTAAGGATCTTCAAAATGGGCAGCACAGTGTCTAAATGGTTAGCACTTCCGCCTGGCAGTACTAGGGTCGTTGGTTCGAATCCCAACCATGGCACCACCTGCCTGGAGCTTGCATGTTCTCCCTGTGCCTGCGTGGGTTTCCTGCTCCGGTTTCCTCCCACACTCCAAAGACAGGCTGGTAGGTTAATTGACTCCTGTCTAAATTGGCCCTAGTATATGTATGTATGAATGTGAGTTATGGACCTTAGATTGTACGCCCCTTGAGGGTTAGGGACTGATGTGAATGTACAATATATATGTAAAGCTCTGCGTAAAATTATGGTGCTAAATAAGTACCTATAATAAATAAAATTGTATTTGTAGTGTTTTGTGTAGTGGGGTGCACTAATGGGTGATTGTTTGTTTTTGCCTATCCTGGGGTTCTGATTTAAGCAGTTTAGTTCAGAACACTCTTCCGTCAGTTATAAGAACAGTTTTTTACTTCTAGGGCCCTTTCACAGTCTCCGCACGCTAAAATGACCTGTTGTTACAAAGCAAGGCACTGTTTGTTTGTTTTTTCACTTCGGTGACATTTTATTCTGTTCAATGCAATGCTGAGCTGTGGCACGAAAATGGACGTAGACATAAGGTGAGCTCCATCTCAAGTCTGCATTTTTATACAATATACTTCAACCCATCTGAACACAGCATTGCATTATACACAGGGTGCATAGGAACAGAGTCCAGTCCACAGGAGCAGAAAAATTACCTCACAGTGTTAGAGTAAATAAAGGAATTAAATTATTCAAACTGAATCTAAGTTAGATTATGGTTTGATCATTATTTCTCAAAAATGATTTCACCGATACGCAAAGGGAGTCTGATAATATTTTTAAATGTTAAAGTTTCCATTTTACCAGTGTGTGTGTGTGTGTGTGTGTTTTTATTATGTGATCAGTGCTGAGTCACATATTGCCCTTATCAAACCTAGTACAGCAACCTCCAGGGAGGAAAAGAACTTGGGGTACTTGCAGAAGATATTCCTTTTACTGAGACTTATCAAGCTTAGGGCAAAATTGAGAAAGGGTCTGTGGTGACCTGAAACATAACTGTTAATATGGACTACTTACCTATGCTACTGAGGCTTAATATATCTTATCCTTCTGCAGTTCCAGTAAGGGAACTTCTAAAGAACACCTCTGTGCAAAGGTTATTGCAAGTATCACATAGGATCATATAAAGGAGCAGTGTTATAAACTGATAAACTTACTTTGATCCACGGTTATAGTAAATTTTCACAATTTCATACACTGCAGCCAGGTTGTCATATTTCATGTGGATGAAACTGTTGTGGAAAAAGCAATCAGTGTCAATGGCCACCCATATATTCCAGTTTAATGACAGCTTTAATGCATGCAGTATTTCTTTGGACTTTATTTGTGGGGAAATGATTTGCTCTCACCAAGAGCTGTTGAAGGTTGTCAGTATTTATTGTTGGTATGTTTTTATGACTTTTTTCTTTTATTGTGGGTAATATAAGGATGTGGTTAGTGAAAAATTCACAACTGTCATCTGCTGTTATTTTGACTATTCATGACATTCTTTCCCAGGACTGTAATGTTAGCTGCCTTTTTCACCTTTTTGATTTCTTGTGTTCATAGGAGACCTTTGCTAGAGCAAAGACATGGGTTAAAGAGCTGCAGAGACAAGCCAGCCCAAACATTGTGATTGCACTCTCAGGCAACAAAGCAGACCTTACTAATAAGCGCATGGTTGAATATGAAGTGAGTACTCTTCACAATAAAATAATTTTTGCTGTGTTTTATTGAATAGGTGTTTACAAAAAAAATGCAGAAAATATAAGTCTATGGTTTGAATGGCTTGTATATTAACTTGACTTGAGGAGCCAAAAAATCCACTCCAGGTAAGTTTTTTTTCTTCAAGCCGTCCCTGAAGACTTAAATTCAGCGAAATGCATAGGGCAAAGCCTACTAGATATGAATGTCATCCCATACAGCCAATGCCTGGTCACAGTCTGTGTGTTGCAGTTGGAGCCAGCACGGCTTAAAGCTGAATGCGGTTCTCCGTAGGGTTGGGAATGACACTTGTTTGATGTAAGTGCAATATGTTATGTTGAGTTTTTAAAAATAAAAGGTTTTACTCAATGGAGCCTATTTTTTGTTCTTTGCTTTCCACTGGTTATTATCTAAGGGTTAATGAGAATCTGGGATGATATTAAAGATCCTGTGGATGGTGGAAGAAAGCAGATCCTGTGGAGTAGTGTGGTTCTAAGCTAGATACAAGTTGTCTATTCATTACCTCTGGTGAGTTATCAGATTGGAAGATGTTGGACACGGGTGTGAGCACTTTAAATTAAGATTGTGTTTTATAGCTGAAGATTTTTGCGCTTTATTAAAGCACTGGACACTTTTCTATTTGCAATTCTTAGATGCACTGGACACGTTAATGAGTTTATGAAGTTTGATAAATTATATCACGTGGTGTTTTATGACCGTATAGTTTTTTTATATAGATTTATGTATGCCACCTATGAATTGAGTATATACATTTATAGGTACAGTTGCAAGAAAAAAGTATGTGAACCCCTTGGGATTACGTGGAGTTTTGCATGAATTGGGCATAAAATTGCTCTGACCGTCATCTAAGTCACAACAATAGAAGAACACAGTCTGCTGAACATAATACTACACAAACATTAGATGTTGCCATGGTTTAATTGCACATAACATGTAAACATTCACAGTGCAGGGAGGAGAAAGTATGTGAGGCCCTAGCTTAATGACTTCTCCCAGAGCTAATTGGAGCCAGGAGTGAGCCAACCTTGACTCCAATCAGTGTGATGATATTGGATGTGTTGCTGACAGCTGTCCTGCCCTTAATAAAACACACACCTGTTTTGGGTTTACTGGTTTCAAGAAGCACTGTCTGATGTGAACCATGCCTCGCAGAAAAGAGCTCTCAGAAGACCTTCCATCAAGAATTGTTGACTTGCATGAAGCTGGAAAGGGTTACAAAAGTATCTCCAAAAGCCTTGATGTTCACGTGTCCACGGTAAGACAGACTGTCTACAAATGGAGAAAGTTTAGCACTGTTGCTACTCTCCCTAGGCGTGGTCGTCCTGTAAAAAATGACTGCAAGAGCACAGCACAGAATGCTGCATGACGTAAAGAAGAATCCCAGAGTGTCAGCTAAAGACCTACAGAAATCTCTGGCACATGCTAACATTTTTTTTTGACACATCTACAATAAGGAAAACATTAAACAAGAATGGAGTACATGGGAGGACACCACGGAGGAAGCCATTGCTGTCCAAAAAGAATATTGCAGCGTGTTTGAAGTTTGCAAAAGAGCACCTGGATGTTCCACAGCACTACTGGCAAAATATACTGTGGACAGATAAAACCAAGATTGAGTTGTTTGGGAAAGAACACACAACACTATGTGTGGAGAAAAAAAGGCACAGAACACCAACATCAAAACCTCATCCCCACTGTAAAAACATGGCGGAGGGAGCATCATGGTTTGGGGCTGCTTTGCTGCCTCAGGGCCTGGACGGATTGTTGTCATTGATGGGAAAAGGAATTCCAGAGTTTATCAAGACATTTTGCAGGAAAACGTACGACCATCTGTCCGCCAATCGAAGCTCCGCAGAGGATGGGTGATGCAACAGGACAATGACCCAAAGCATACAAGTAAATCAACAAAACAATGGCTGCAACAGCACAGAATACGCCTTCTGAAGTGGCCCAGTCTGAGTCCTGACCTCAACCCGATTGAAATGCTGTGGCATGATCTTAAGAGAGCGATTCACACCAGACATCCCAAGAATATTTCTACACTGAAACAGTTTTGTGAAGAGGAGTGGTCCAAAATTACTCCAGATCGTTGTGCAGGTCTGATCTGCAACTACAGGAAATGTTTGGTTGAGGTTATTGCTGCCAAAGGAGGGTCAACCAGTTATTAAGTCCAAAGGTTCACATACTTTTTCCTCCCTGCACTGTGAATGTTTACATGTTATGTGCAATTAAAACCATAGCAACATCTAATGTTTGTGTAGTATTATGTTCAGCAGACTGTGTTCTTCTATTGTTGTGACTTGGATGACGTTCAGAGCACATTTTATGCCCAATTCATGCAAAACTCCACGTAATCCCAAGGGGTTCACATACTTTTTCTTGCAACTGTATATTTGTATTGAACACAAAGGGATTGATAGCGCTGTCAAATATTTACAATTTTATACAAGTTTATGTGATACTTGTCTGTGTTGGCAAAGCAAAAAATGGGCTGCATCTACTATTTAGTTGGCAACTGTTGTCATGTATAGAAAGACGATTGCTATGAGGTTGAGTTACTAAAAGCAAATAGACTGTTCACTTTTACCAGGAAATTTTCCCTTAGCATTTTGAATGTGGTGAAAATTTGTGGTGAAAATACCCAATCATGTGCAAGGAGAAAAAAAAACTTCTATATTTGTGTACACTTGATTTGATTAAATGATGATGATAACCATACACTAGTCGAAAAATCGTTTTGCATGGGTTTCTGAAACACAAAAACATGGTCATGAGAGCAAATGATATTTCCATCGTTTTTAACCAAATTTTGAAGAATAAATCGTTCAATGGACTTCTCCAGAGCCTCTCCCATCCTCTGGAACTCCCTGCCCCAGTATGTCCAGTTAGCGCCTACCCTGTCTGTCTTTAGGCGATCCTTGAAAACTCATTTATTCAGGGAAGCCTAGCTAACCTCCACCTAAGAACTGTACTTGAGTTACAACATATCATCCCCTGCAGCTGTTATCTTTTGTACCACCTCCCCCTCCCTTTAGATTGTAAGCTTCATGAGCAGGGCCCTTCTGTATTGAACTGTATTGTAAATGTACTGTCCCCTTTATATTATAAAACTCTTTATTGAAACTGCTCTCAACTTTATTGAAGTTTTTGAAAATGTTATATTATATATCGTGGCCTAAAATGTCACCTGAATCTACATACTTATGAGATATCCACACACACATTTATTGCCTACCTAGTAACTTTGGAGTTATTGACCCCTTTTGTTCTTTACAGGAAGCCCAGGCATATGCAGATGACAACAGCCTGTTATTTATGGAAACCTCCGCCAAGACAGCCATGAATGTCAATGACCTGTTTCTTGCAATAGGTAAAGCAGTATCTTTCTGATAGTAAATGTGTTTGTAGATGAACTGGTTTACTTCTGTCCTCAAATGATAACATGTCATTTTATGGCAATCTTACACCATTAGACATATCAAAGTATCATTTGACAGCACTTTAAAAAGTAAAGGTTTCTTGATAATTAAATAAGTTATTAGGTTAGAGTTGTATGACCAATGGGTCAGGATCCCAGCTGATATTTTATTTTACATTTATTTCAAAGTCTTAATACATGGGGGTTAAGATTGTTGTAGAATGTGAACAATTCCAGCACAGACGAGAATACATTTTATAGTATTTAATTTGATGTTCATTACTAGGATCTCTGCTTAGTGTCTTTTACAGTTTTTGAAAGGTATCTGCTGATCTGCACAAATAAGATGGCACCAATGAAGAAAACAGTTACCGTATTTGCCGGCGTATAAGACGACTGGGCGTATAAGACGACCCCCCTACTTTTCCTGCTAAAATGTAGTGTTTGGGCTATACTCGCCGTATAAGACTACCCCTCTTCCAATGCACACCAGTGGGAGGAATAGTGCCCCATCATTGATGTCAGTGGGAGGAATAGTGCCCCATCATTGGTGTCAGTGGGAGGAATAGTGCCCCATCATTGGTATCAGTGGCAGGAATGGTGCCCCATCATTGGTATCAGTGGCAGGAATAGTGCCCCATCATTGGTATCAGTGGCAGGAATAGTGCCCCATCATTGGTATCAGTGGCAGGAATAGTGCCCCATCATTGGTATCAGTGGCAGGAATAGTGCCCCATCATTGGTGTCAGTGGGAGGAATGGTGTCCCATCATTGGTGTCAGTGAGGGGTGGAATAGTGCCCCATCATTGGTGTCAGTGGGGGGTGGAATAGTGCCCCATCGTTGGTGTCAGTGGGGGGGGGAATAGTGCCCCATCGTTGGTGTCAGTGGGGGGGAGGAATAGTGCCCCATCGTTGGTGTCAGTGGGAGGAATAGTGCCCCATCGTTGGTGTCAGTGGGAGGAATAGTGCCCCATCGTTGGTGTCAGTGGGGGGGAGGAATAGTGCCCCATCGTTGGTATCAGTGGGAGGAATAGTGCCCCATCATTGGTATGTGACACCAATGATGGGGCACTATTCCTCCCACTGAGACTTGCTGACCCTGTTCTCGTATGGTGCTGCTGCAGCCAGCATATGTGGTTGCAGCAGCACCTCTACACAGAACACTTACCTGCTGCTCCGGCACTCAATTTTCGCGGGGCCGCTCGGCTCTGCCCCCTCGCCGGTGATTGGCCGCCTGTGTGCCTTTCCTGAGCTACAGTTCTGGCGGCCAATTACCGGTGAGGAGGCGGAGCCGAGCAGCCGCACGAACATCCAGTGGCCGAACTGAAGGAGACGCCGCGCTTCCTGGACCGGATCGTCGTGGGACTGGATCCAGGTAAGAGACATCAGCCCCTGCAAACCCCTGTACTTAATGCCGCAGCCCCCCTAACATGTGTATCGGCGTATAAGACGACCCCCGACTTTTGAGAAGATTTTCAAGGGTCAAAAAGTCGTCTTATACGCCGGCAAATACGGTATGTACCAAAAAAATACTAGAACCAAAGTCCAGCACATTGCTATTGAACCTGTGAGTGCAGTTCATTGCCCCTGCTCATAACTGAATTGATCAATGAAGAGCTCTGTGATGCCAACTTAAAGCTGATCATTGGGACAAGTAAATATTGTCTAAATACAAAAGGCACGACTGTGCTTGAATCTTGCTGTGCTTTGTGTATTTCTTTCAGGTATGTGCTGCAATCCAGTGTTAACTTTGCCTCTGTGCAGGAGCTTCCTTTAATAAAGACTGGGTAACTGACCTTGTCTCCACCCCCTCCTGTAGTTTTCTGCTGGCAACCTGAAGTAGGTAGACCTGTTCAGTTCTTCCCACTGTTCTGCTCTCTGCACAAGTTATGTGCAAGTACAACTAAAGCCAAAACTCCTGCTGGGGACATTTCACCTTTTTATTTATGTTCTGTAGACCCCTTTTAGACAGTTGTCAACTGTGTCCCCATTTGAAGAATTCCCCTCTATTCCTGTTCTGGTGGAAACTTAAAACTTTGGTTTCTTTTCTCACTTTCGGTCCCAGTGACAGTGGTCACCCGGACAAATCAAGAGAGTGTATCTCTGTACCGGGAACACAGACCGCAAAAAAAAAAAAAAAAGTGACATAACTTAGAAAAAAGGTAGTGCTCTAACCAAATCTATATTCATAAAAAAAAAAATGTAAAAAAAACATTATTTATATATATATATATATATATATATATATATATACGCACCCAGAAAGTTAAAAAAGTGCATCAAAAGCTATAATCTTATTGCAACTATAAACTGTAAATGTAAAAAGAAAAACTTTTTATAAGTCAATCAATTTCCAATGTGCAATATAGTGAAGAAATAAAACTTTAACTTCAGTGCTCCAAACTATTCTTAAAATAAATATGAAAAATCCACCACCAGATGAATTAAATAAACTCACCAGAGCAATATGCCGGTCAAATTATAAACCAGCACACACGCTTTCGCTTTGGGAGCAACAATCTGCAGATTGATAGCAGGCAATAGGGATGCGATTCAATGACATAAATATCTTCTTGACATAAAACTCATAAAAGAGAGCGGAAAACTAATAGTGTAAAAAGAAGAAAAAAAAAACAGCTAACTTGGGGTTGTAACCCCTCACCACTCTATCAAAAACTAAAATAAGTTTTTTCTTTAGATGTATTGTACTTGTAGCACAGTGATGATGTCGCCACAACTTTTACAAGGTGATCTACAAAGTGCATTCATATCCGTTTTGGCTATTGATGAATATATTTAGACTAAAGACACAAAAGTTGAATCCAACTACTTTCCTAAGCCCTGTCTCTGTGAATATCGAACACTGACTGATGGGACATAGAAGAAATAGGGAGGGTCTAGCTAGGACTAAACTAACTGGCAGTAAAGAGAAGTAGAAGATAGCAGAAGATCCCAAAATAACAGTAAACAAGTTGTAGTGGCCCAAAAATGCCACTAGATGTCAGCATACTACAAAATAACAACCTAATGTAGTTTAATACAACACAGAAAAATGACATGAAGTTCTGTTGTGTCCCCAGATCAGGAAGGCCCTCAAGGGCAAGCTTGCTAATGGGGCAAAGAAAGCAACAAATTAAATTCCCCAAGGATAAGACTGCAATGTTGTAACTATGTAGAAGGCCACATGGTGGGAGGCTGCAGCAGGGGGCTGATCAGTGTTAGACATTTGTGAGCACAGCCAAGAACTGACAGGCACCAGGATTTACATGGATGTTTAATTTTAAACCAACATTCTAGCTAAGGAAATAGATGCTGAGTTGAGAGGATTCCTGAACAAAGACCATTCTGTTCTTTTGGTGAGAAAAGCAGATGCAGTCATTGTCTGGGGATGTACTGTGATCTCTGAGAGTTAATAAATACTTGGAAGTATTGAAAAAAACTACTTGCCTATTAATGTCTGAAGATAGATTCATTTCCTTTAATACGTTTATTTGCAAAGTTTAGATGATCTCACTAAATATTTTAGTAGACTTTTTAGAATAGCAAAACCAGCAACCCATATACAGATCTCAGGTCTGAAGGAAGTGGGTGGGGTTGAATATCTGCTGCATTCAGCTCCCACTATGCTCTTCCAACCCACTGAAAGCCTCCGGCTACCTGCAAATTCCCCAACCTTTCATTGAGCCCCCTCCAGAGCCCTCGTCCCCATCCTATAGGGTCACCAAGTCTGCTGCAGTCTTTCCTAATCCCCTCCAAAACCCCCATGCCCCACAGTGACCCCCAGCTCTATGCAGAGCCTTCAAGCATTTCGATAATTATTTTGCATTTCTTTACTTTTTGTGCCAGTATAAACCCATAAGGTTGTACAATAAGCCAATAAAAGTTATACAGTTTTGCAGTAGATTAGAAAATGATGACAAGTCTAGTCGATGGATAATTGACCTGTTAGTGCACAAAGTGCAGAGGCTGGGGTTGGGCACAATGACTTGTAGTTCATTCACCTGAAGTCTGAACCTTCACCTTTTGACAGTCCTGATGCTTTCAGCTGTTGTGACTAAATCACAATTTAATTTTCATATGCAGATCTTTCTAGAAACATCATGTCCTAGTAAGCTATACAGTCTTTTTTTTTTTCTTTGTTTAATGCCTCGTGTGTACTCTGTACTGTAGGGACTATTGATCTGACCCACTGTAGAATCCTGGGTTCTGATAGACTGCAATGTTAGCCCTAAATTCCTTGGGATAGAGTCCCACATTGGGGGGGGGGAGAATAAAACTGTATACTATCCCGATCCTCCACTCAGCGGGCAAATGGCGCTCCCCCACGATCCATCAGTGGACTGTTCCTGGTCTATGGCCGTGATAACATCACAAGACCACTTGGGGTGGGGGTGCAGTGCAGGAGCCACAGGGACCTGTGCAATGTAGGTAAAGCCTCATTGCATGGGAATACTTTTTTTTTATTTTTATGCTTTTGCCTGGAGTTCATCTTTAAGCAACCCGAGAGTACTGGCACACCGGGTTCAATATGTAGACTGCAGGTAAAAAAAATCTCTGGTTACCTTAAAGCTGAACTCCCAGGAAAAGCAAATATTTTTCTAAATACAAGAGTCATGTGTACAGTGGAACCTCAACTTACGAGTTTAATTCGTTCCGTGGCCGAGCTCGTAACTCAAAATGCTCGCTCGTTAAATCAATTTTCCCCATAAGAAATAATGGAAACGGCCGTAATCCGTTCCAACCCTCAAAATGGCACCTCATATTTTTCATTTTTCTTGTTATTTCATAAGGAAAAAAGCTTTTTACATAACTAATATTATATAAAAACAAAATAGAAAGAAAATATGAAGATATAATAAGGTTGTATACAATTTACTTACCTTGGAGATGATTTTTGTTTTCGCTTAATTCTCATCACTCTCTTCACTTTCACTAGTTCTTGGCCTTTTTGCCACACTTTGCTCACTTCGAGCTGAAGGCCTTTTCTTAAGAAACATGTCTAAGGAAGTCTGTTTCATTCTCCCTTTGAGAATGTTTCTGAAACGACATAGGCACGTGTCGTTGAAAAGCTCTGTCGCACGACTCGTTGCAATTTTTTCAGGATGGTTCTTTTCAACAAAACCTGCCACCCTCTCCCACATTGCCAAAATATCCTTGAGGTCCTTTGTACTGATTATCTCTGGCTCCTCTCCCTCCGAAGTAGCTTCAGTTAATGCTTCTGTGTGCCGTTGCTCTTGTAACTCCTTTAACTCGTCAGTCGTAAGTTCCTCGGAGTGCTCCTCAACGAGTTCCTCGATGTCTCTTTCATCCACCTCCAGACCTATAGTCTTGCCAATGGACACGATCTCTTCCTCCACTGGCTCCTCTTCTTCCTCAATCTCAAACCCTTCAAAATCTCTTTCAGCCACATTTTCAGGCCACAGCTTCTTCCAAGCAGAGGTCAAGGTCCTTTTCGTAACCCCCTGCCAGGCAATATCGATGATTTTGAGGCCTATTGCTATGTTAAAATGCTCCTTCCAAAACTCTCGAAGGGTGAGGTTTGTGTTCTCCGTCACCTCAAAGCAACGGCGAAACAGGTGCTTGGTGTAGAGTTTCTTGAAATTTGATATTACCTGTTGGTCCATTGGCTGGAGAATAGGGGTGGTGTTTGGAGGAAGGTAGAGAACCTTCACAAAATTATACTCATCAAGTATTTCTTCCTCGATCTGTGGTGGATGTGCAGGAGCATTGTCGAGGACGAGAAGGGCTCGCAAGGGCAGGTTGTTGTTCTTCAAATATTTCTTCACCGAAGGACCAAACACAAGGTTTACCCAGTCGATAAAGAACTGCCTGGTGACCCACGCCTTAGGGTTTGCCCTCCACATAACATGGAGTTTCTCCTTTATTATCTTGTGTGCTTTAAAGGCTCTGGGGTTCTCCGAATGGTATACGAGTAGCGGCTTTATTTTGCAGTCACCACTCGCATTAGCACACAGGGCGAGGGTCAACCTATCCTTCATAGGTTTGTGTCCTGGCATCCTCTTCTCCTCTTCGGTGATGTATGTTCTCCTGGGCATCTTCTTCCAGAACAGCCCTGTCTCGTCACAGTTGAAGATTTGCTGGGGGATGTATCCTTCTTCCTCGACGAATTCTGCGAAAGTTTTCACAAACTCCTCTGCTGCCTTTACATCAGCACTTGCTGCCTCACCATGCCTAACAACGGAGTGAATCCCCGTCCTTTTCTTAAAATTATCAAACCAGCCCCGACTGGCTTTAAAGGATTCCTCCTCCGTTGAAGTGCCTGGGGTTTGCTGTTGTAAATCTGAAAAAATACTGCGCGCCTTCTCGCAGATTATTCCCTCGGTGACGGTATCTCCGGCAAGTTGTTTTTCCGTCAGCCACACCAACAGCAGATTCTCCATCTTCTCATGCACATCTGTACGGCGCTTTGAAATAATCTTGACACCTTTGGCTGGCTTAATTTTCTTTAGGGACTCCTTCTGTTTTAAGATGGTGCAGATCGTTGACGTTGTACGGTCGTAGTGCTTGGCCAGTTCCTTTACTCGCATGCCTTGCTCATGCTTCTCGACGATTTCAAGCTTTATTTCGAGGGACATCATCCTCCTCTTCTCGGTACTCGCACTACCACTTGCTTTCTTTGGTGCCATGGTTACAACAAAGTTAGAAGTTGGGATTTCAATCACGTGTAGACAGCGAGAGAGAGAGAAAGGCTCGGAGATGGGATGCTGTGACTCATACCCTCTGAGCTGCGCGCGCCTTGAAAATATACACTTAGAGCTGCGCGCGCCTCGAACTCGTATCTTAAAATTCTGCTCGCGTGCCGAAGCAAAAAATCGTCCGAGCGACTGCTCGTATCTCGGAAAACTCGCACGTTAGTTCGCTCGTAGGTTGAGGTTCCACTGTATTCTTCAATGAATTGTGGCATGTTCTGTGTATTTCTTCCAGATCTGTAAAGTAATCAAATGTGAAACTTTGCCTCTGTGCAGGAGGTTCCTGTCAGACCGGTCACTGCTGCTCTCGCTCCTTGTGCAGGGTAACTGGTCTGGTCTCCGCCCCTCCTGTAATTTTCTGCAGGAAGCCTATAGTGGGTGGACCTGTTGGGTCCCTCCTACAGCTTGCGCTCTGGACAGGCTATGTACAACATAGGGATGATGTCACTCACTCCTACTATTAAAAGTCAATAACTGGGTTTGCAAAAGAATTTGGTGCACAAAATGTGCATTTATTTCTTTTGTGGCTATTGATGTATATATTTAAATGAGAGTTTTTGTGTCCAGAGTTCAGCTTTAACATGTTACTTTCAGATAAATTTTTAGGGAAAGACAGGTGTGTTTTTGTTAAAGTAGTTTAGAAATTGTGCCAATTGAAGCTCTCCTGAAACTGAGTGATCAAAGATAGTTAAAGGGCTGGTCTCTATGCAAGAACCAGAACTTTCATGTTAAAAGAGCAACTCCACTTTTGTAGAGGAAAAAAAAAAACATTTCCCTCTGGGTGACCTATGTACATTGGAAGGATTTTAACAAACTTTGTTGCAGATTTCTTCCTTAGTTATTCTGCAGAAACAGCTGTTTGTTTCTCTGTGTCCATGGGTAGAGTGAATCAGTATGGGAGTGGTTTCATAATTATCAATCAACGGCTGCATCCCTTTTTAGATCTGTTTTCCCTTTTGGAGTATCTCACCAAAAAGGATATTTTTGTTGCAGGGGATTCCTAAAATCTGACTTTTATTCAGACTTCTGGGAAAATCAGCCACTCACTCAAGCAGGAATCAATATTTTTGGGGGGGGGGGGGGGGCGTTCTGTACACCATTTGTGCACAGAACACCTCCAGGTAGCCATATTGCATTGCAATGCGCTGCAGATTGAAGAGGAAAGGTCATTTTAAATAAGATTCAATTAGAATAGGACTTGTCGTAATTGTATGTTACTTTTTTTTTTTCCTCCACGCAAGGAGAGTTACCCTTTAAATATTTAGTATATATTTGCAAATATTTACTTTTAAAACATTCATATTTGCCCCCTTTATTTAGCTTGAATTACTTTATCTAGAGCCTCATTTAAAAAGACAAAGTTCAGTTTACGTCTGTTTTTGCAGCTTCTTTTTTTTTTTTTTTGCAACCCATTCAGTTTAAAATAGAAATGCAAGGTAAAGTAAGTGAGTGTGTGTGTAATATTGAGTTGGCCCACCCTTTGCAGCTATAACAGCTTCAACTCTTCTGGGAAGGCTGTCCACAAGGTTTAGGAGTGTGTCTATGGGAATGTTTGACCATTCTTCCAGAAGCGCATTTGTGAGGTCAGGCACTGATGTCGGACAAGAAGGCCTGGCTTGCAGTCTCCGCTCCAATACATCCAAAAGGTATTCTGTCAGGTTGAAGTCAGGAATCTGTGCAGGTCAGTCAAGTTCCTCCACCCCAAATTCGCTCATCCATGTCTTTATGGACCTTGCTTTGTGCACTGGTGTGCAGTCATGTTGGAATAGGAAGAGGCCATCCCCAAACTGTTCCCACAAAGTTGGGAGCATGAAATTGTCCAAAATGTCTTGGTATGCTAACACCTTAAGAGTTCCCTTCATTAGAAGTAAAGGCCAAGCCCAAATCCTGAAAAACAACCCCAAACCATATTCCCCCCTCCACCAAACTTTACACTTGGCACTATGCAGTCAGGCAAGTACTGTTTCCTGGCAACCACCAAACCCAGACACATCCATCAGATGGCCAGACAAGTGTGATTCGTTACTCCAAAGAACACGTCTGCACTGCTCTAGAGTCCAGTGGCAGCGTGCTTTACACCACTGCATCCAACGCTTTTCATTGCACTTGGTGATGCAAGGCTTGGATGCAGCTGCTTGGCCATGGCAGCCCATTCCATGACGCTTTCTATGCACTGTTGTTGTGCTAATTTGAAAGCCACACGAAGTTTAGAGTCTTTAATTATTGACTCTGCAGACAGTTGGCGACTTCTGCGCACTGTGCGCTTCAGCATGCGCTGACTCCGCTCTGTCATTGTACACGGCCTACCACTTCGTGGCTGAGCTGCTGTTGTTCCCAGTTGCTTCCACTTTGTTATAATACCAATAACAGTTGACCGTGGAATATTTAGTAGCTAGGAAATTTCATGGATGGACTTCTTGCACAGGTGGTACCACGCTTGAATTAATTGAGCTCCTGAGAGCGACCCATTCTTTCACAAATGATTGTAGAAGCAGTCTGCATGCCTAGGTGCTTGATTTTATACACCTGTGGCCATGGAGATGATTGGAACACCTATATTCAAGGAGTGTGTGTGTGTGTGTGTGTGTGTGTGTGTGTGTGTGTGTGTGAGTGTGTACACACCGGGTAAAATAAGTATTGAACACGTCACCATTTTTCTCAGTAAATATATTTCTAGAGGTGCTATTGACATGAAATTTTCACCACATGTCGGAAACCACTAATGCAATCCATACATACAAGGAAACAAATAAGTTCAGAAATTGAGTTGTGTAATAAAATGGAATGACACAGGGAAAAAGTATTAAATGCATGAAGAAAGGGAAGTGCAAAAAGGCATGGAAAGCCAAGACACCAGCTGAATCTGTCAGTAATTAGAAAGCAATCCTGCCCCTTGTCGGTGCAAATTAATATCAGTTGGTTCAATCTCAACTGATGTCCTATAAAAAGGTGTCACAAACATCTCATGATTGGTAAAAGCAAAGAGCTCTCTCAAGACCTTTGCAACCTTATTGTTGTAAAACATACTGATGGTATTGGTTACAGAAGAGTTTCTAAACTTCTGAATGTTCCAGTGAGCACTGTTGGGGCCATAATCTGGAAGTGGAAAGAACATCAGTTCACCATAAACCGGGTGCTCCTCACAAGGTTTCTGGAGAGCTTCAGAATTAGCAGGTACAATTGTTTCAAAGAAAACCATAAGTAATGCACTCAGTTGCCATGGCCTGTATGCACGCTCGCCAAGTAAGACTCCATTACTGAAGAAAAAGCACGTTGAAGCTCATTTAAAGTTTGCTGCACAACATTTAGACAAGCCTGTGAAATACTGGGAGAATATAGTCTGGTCAGATGAGACCAAAATTGAACTCTTTGGATGCCATAATACACACCATGTTTGAGGCCAAATGGAACTGCACATCACCCCAAAACACCATACCAACAGTGAAGTTTGGAAGTGGAAACATGGTGTGGGGCTGTTTTTCAGCATATGGTACTGGCAAACTTCATGTCATTAAAGGAAGGATGAATGGAAAAATGTACCAAGACATTCTTGATTAAAATCTGCTGCCATCTACCAGGATGACTAAAATGAAATGAGGGTGGACATTTCAGCAATGTAATGATCCCAAACACAAAGCCAAGGAAACTCTCCATATGTTTCAAAGAGAGAAAAAAAAAAAGCTGCTAGAATGGCCCAGCCAATCACCTGACTGTAATCCAATAGAAAATCTATGGAAAGCACTAGAGATCAGAGTTCATAGAAGAGGTCCACAAAACCTTCAATATTTGAAGACTGTGTCGACAAATAAGCCAAAATCACACCTGAGCAATGAATGTGACTAGTTTCTCCATGCAGGAGGACATCATGAGGCTGTCAATACCAGCATAGGATTTTGTTGAAGTATTAAATAAGTTTCAGTTAATGTGTTCAATGCTTTTTTCCCCTTTGTCATTCAATTTTATAACACATAAGTTAATTTTTTAACATATTTGTTTTGGTTTCTTAGTATGTATAGATTGCATGGGTTGTTACTGACATGTGGTGAAAACTTCATGTCAATGACACCTTTAGAAATATATTTACCAAGAAAATTTATGGCATGTTCAGTACTTATTTTACCCACTGTATATACAGTCAGGTCCATAAATATTGGGACATCGACACAATTCTAACATTTTTGGCTCTATACACAACCACAATGGATTTGAAATGAAACAAACAAGATGTGTTTTAATTGCAGACTGTCAGCTTTAATTTGAGGATATTTACATCTAAATCAGGTGAACGGTGTAGGAATTACAACAGTTTGCATATGTGCCTCTCACTTGTTAAGGGGCCAAAAGTAATGTGACAGAATAATAATCATAAATCAAACTTTCACTTTTTAATACTTGGTTGCAAATCCTTTGCAGTCAATTACAGCCTGAAGTCTGGAACGCATAGACATCACCAGACGCTGGGTTTCATCCCTGGTGATGCTCTGCCAGGCCTCTACTGCAACTGTCTTCAGTTCCTGCTTGTTCTTGGGGCATTTTCCCTTCAGTTTTGTCTTCAGCAAGTGAAATGCATGCTCAATCGGATTCAGGTCAGGTGATTGACTTGGCCATTGCATAACATTCCACTTCTTTCCCTTAAAAAACTCTGGTTGCTTTTGCAGTATGCTTTGGGTCATTGTCTATCTGCACTGTGAAGCGGCATCCAATGAGTTGTGAAGCATTTGGCTGAATATGAGCAGATAATATTGCCCGAAACACTTCAGAATTCATCCTGCTGCTTTTGTCAGCAGTCACATCATCAATAAATACAAGAGAAGCAGTTCCATTGGCAGCCATACATGCCCACGCCATGACACTACCACCACCATGCTTCACTGATGAGGTGGTATGCTTAGGATCATGAGCAGTTCCTTTCCTTCTCCATAATCTTCTCTTCCCATCACTCTGGTACAAGTTGATCTTGGTCTCATCTGTCCATAGGATGTTGTTCCAGAACTGTGAAGGCTTTTTTAGATGTCGTTTGGCAAACTCTAATCTGGCCTTCCTGTTTTTGAGGCTCACCAATGGTTTCCATCTTGTGGTGAACCCTCTGTATTCACTCTGGTGAAGTTTTCTCTTGATTGTTGACTTTGACACACATACACCTACCTCCTGGAGAGTGTTCTTGATCTGGCCAACTGTTGTGAAGGGTGTTTTCTTCACCAGGGAAAGAATTCTTCGGTCATCCACCACAGTTGTTTTCCGTTGTCTTCCGGGTCTTTTGGTGTTGCTGAGCCCACCGGTGCGTTCCTTCTTTTTAAGAATGTTCCAAACAGTTGTTTTGGCCACACCTAATGTTTTTGCTATCTCTCTGATGGGTTTGTTTTGTTTTTTCAGCCTAATGATGGCTTGCTTCACTGATAGTGACAGCTCTTTGGATCTCATCTTGAGAGTTGACCGGAACAGATTCCAAATGCAAATAGCACACTTGAAATGAACTCTGGACCTTTTATCTGCTCATTGTAATTGGGATAATGAGGGAACAACACACACCTGGCCATAGAACAGCTGAGAAGCCAAATTGTCCCATTACTTTTGGTCCCTTAACAAGTGGGAGGCACATATGCAAACTGTTGTAATTCCTACACCGTTCACCTGATTTGGATGTAAATACCCTTAAATTAAAGCTGACAGTCTGCAGTTAAAGCACATCTTGTTCGTTTTATTTCAAATCCATTGTGGTGGTGTATAGAGCCAAAAATGTTAGAATTATGTTGATGTCCCAATATTTATGGACCTGACTGTACATCTTTCTTACAAAGGTTAGTCAACATGAGTGTTAGGAGGGATGTAGGAGCATTTTTAAGATTAGTTAGGTTTAGCCTGGAATTCTACTTTAATGATAGCTTATCTTGTGACTGCTAATTATTATTTTTTTAATATGGATGTTTTTCATTCTATCCAATCCTTATTTCATTGTGAACAATAGTCCTGGCCATGGCACGTATACACAATTAATGGTTACACTAAAAATAGCCTGGCATTCATGTAATTCTTATTTTGACACTCCTAGTACTTTTGTTTACCATATCTGTCCTTCACCAGTCTTGCTATGCAATATGCTTGGTGATTTATCACTAGGGGTGTGTACATAATGAATAGTAATGCCAAACTGCAGGGCCAGCAGACTGTTATACATTAAAAATGGTATTTACTCAAGAGATTAAACTATAATTCTACCACTTTGCCAAACTCTGGTTCAGCAACATCTTAAGCATGCCGTCCAGTCCTCAGGACAGATGTGCTGGAACTGGAGAAAGTCCAGAGATGAGCAAGAAAGCTGATGAGGCAGCCTGGAGGACCTCATAATGAAGTGGGAGGGGACACACGACCACATAATGAAGTTGGACAAGAAGCAGTTCATTTTTAAACTGCTTAAGGAAGGGTTCTTTACTGTTGGAGTGGTAAGGATTTGGAATGCCATTCAACATTTGGTGGTGTCACATACATACACACTCTCAGGTTGAACTGGATGGACCAGTGTTTTTTTTTTTTTGTTTTCTTTTGTTGTTTTTTTTATTCAACCTTACAACTATGTCATAAGTATTTTTTTTGTTAAAATAGAACTGTAAAAAATGTATATTTAGCAGACCAAAAGGAAGCAAATAACTGGATTTAAATATACATTATTGGTGCCTTGCACTCCTTACTGCACATACACTCAATGCAACACACTGAAAATGCATGTACATTCAACATTCACTTTCATGCACATTGGCATGTGTTTTCATGTCACTTATGAAAAGTAGCAGGTCCCTATTATTTTATTTTACTTATTTTTTTTTTTATCTTAAAGGTGCCTTCACACTCTTTTTGGTGACCTGACCTGCATTTTTTTCTGCACTGAATAAATGTATGTCAGTGCTAGGGTACACAGCACAGTGCTGTTTGGAGATAGGCATCACAAAAGCACTTCAGTGTGAAAGGGCCCTTAGGCTGCACAAAAGCGCATCAGTATGAAAGGGCCTTTAGGCTGCACAAAAGCGCTTTAGTGTGAAAGGGCCCTTAGGCTGCACAAAAGCGCGTCAGTGTGAAAGCGCCCTTAGGCTGCACAAAAGCACGTCAGTGTGAAAGGGCCCTTAGGCTGCACAAAAGCGCTTTAGTGTGAAAGGGCGCTTAGGCTGTACAAAAGCGCATCATTGTGAAAAGGGCCCTTAGGCTGCACAAAAGAGCATCATTGTGAAAGTTCCCTTAGGCTGCACAAAAGCGCTTTAGTGTGAAAGGGCGCTTAGGCTGTACAAAAGCGCATCATTGTGAAAGGGCCCTTAGGCTGCACAAAAGAGCATCATTGTGAAAGTTCCCTTAGGCTGCACACAAAAGCGCATCATTGTGAAAGGGCCCTTAGGCTGCACAAAAGCGCATCATTGTGAAAGGGCCCTTAGGCTGCGCAAAAGCGCTTTAGTGTGAAAGGGCCTTTAGGCTGCACAAAAGCGCATCAATGTGATCTGGCCCTAAGTGTAAACTTTAGGGCAACTCCAGCCATTTTTTTTTTTCTTTGGGTGGGGGGGGGGGGGGGGATTTTGGCTCTAATGGGGAAGTGTTCTAATTTTTGTCATAATTGAAGGCTACTTGTGTCTTCTTTTGGCAAGATTCCTTTTCACTTCATGCTCTTTCTAACACCATATCACCAGGAAAAGAAGTGAGGGTAAATATCCTTAAGAGGGACCCAGGCAGCAATAAAATCCAGACAGAGGCACAAGCTGGTCCCTACTGTACTAAAAACTGCTCCAACATTAGTGTGGCTTTCTTGATTTACATGCTGGTAATAATTCAATGTTTCAGAAAGTAATAAAGTCATAAGCAGCTTTGCAACTCGTAGTTGGAGGTCAGTAACAGCAGCCTCCTCCAGAGCTATACAAGCTTCATTCAACCTATCTAGACAACTTGATCCAAATCTGCCTGAGAAAATGAACCAGAATAATGGACAGACTTGATAGAGGCATATTTATAAAGCAGAAAATTCACTGGTGACTCGGGGCTTGTTCACACTTGGCTAAATTTCTAACTCTTCAAAAACGCCCCTATAGCGTTAGACAGGCATTAATGAGCTTTAGTATGGGTGTTTCTACAAGTATTAAAAATGCTCCGTACACGCCCTATGCGTGGTTTTAAGGCATTTTATGCATGTTTTACAAGTGTTAAAACCGCACTACAAACGCCTAAAATAAACTCTAATGGTATTAACACTCTACAAACGCCAGGTGTTTGAGGAATATCACCATAGACTTGAATGGGAGGCATTGAAAGGCTTCAACTCTTCCTGACTTGACATGAGGCTTCAATTTTGAAGCGAAGCATAGAATGCTTGAAGGTAAAAAAACTTTGAGCCTTTACAACTACTTTAACAGTGTCTTCTAAAAATCAAGGCATATTTTGATATTCTTTAATTGTTCTTTCTGTGAACAAACAATTGTGGCTTTTATTGTAATTCTTGTTAAATAAAACTTCAAATGTGTTTGGCATTACATGGTTACATAGTCTGGCTGAAAAAAGACAAAAGTCCATCCAGTTCAGCCATAGAAAAAAAAAAAAGTTATAATCCTATACCCAAATGCCAAATGAAAATACTTCCAGATATAGTAAAAATTGTTTTCTGTGGTTTGAAATATACAAAGATTTTAGTAGACTGTTGTATTGTAAAATAAAACCGTTGGTTGCAGGTCTGGTTCACAGGTTTGTGTAGACAGTCCAGCTACGTTAATGCTGTTGAGCTCACTAAACACTAGTCCCATTGTAAAGCTGGCCACACACATATAGATTTTTCTCCATTCAACCAACAGACTGAGGACAGATTCCTCCATTAATGCTATACAGCGCAGATGGACAAATCTCATGCTGCAGCTCTTGTATTCTGACAGCTGGCCCCACCTGCTGCCAACATACCCAAACAGCAGATTCATCTGATTGGTTCATCAGGAATTGGCCAAAATTCAAGCAGTATATGACCAACTTAACAGAAGTTGACTTGACATTCCTCATTGGTCCCACAAAGTTCCTGTAGAACTTTATTATTTGCCATTTTATGCTTTGTTTGGTGAGCAAGAAGAACAAAGGAAGCTTGTTGCTTGTAAGAAATTCTAATGTGATGTGTCTATTTTTACCTAATTTCTTGTTTTTCATTCAACAGCTAAGAAACTGCCAAAAAATGAGCCTCAGAACACAAGCGGGGGTTGCTGGCCGGAGCCGAGGTGTAGATCTACATGAGCAGACACAGCAGAACAAGAGCCAGTGCTGCAGCAATTAATGGAAAAGACAAAGAGCGCAATGGGGAACCAAGATAAGATTATAACCTCTCTTCTTGCACCTGCCCTGCTACCCTCCAGAACTACAACTAAACAACTTTCCAGCACCTCACTCTTCTGCCAGGACTTTCCCTTTTGCACTTCCTTTCTTTCCCTTCACCAACGGATAACAGCACACACACGGAAACAAAGCAGCCAGCTTGAAACTGTCCCTTCCTCCTCCCACACCTCTGCAGCCCTCAGAGACCTCCCTGCTAACTGCACTATTGTGGGTTTTAATTTTTATTTTGTTTTTTTAACGCTTCCAACAAACACACACAGACTACTCTTGGTGACACAGCAAATGAAAGCATCTGGGGATCTCGCCTTCAGAATCAGAGTAAAGAAGAAAAAAAAAACAAAAAAACTGATACTACTTTGTATAATAGATGCATATAGTGACTTTAATATTGATTTTGTTTTGATTTCATGTAAGTTTCTTTGCTTCCATCTACCTTCTTTTCAAGTTTCTCTCTGTTTTGCAGCTTATCACATCACTCAGTAGAACTTCCAGGAGCCTCATACTTCCTACCACTTGTAAACAATTGATTTCTTGCCTGCATCTTCTGTCAAATGCGTAATTTGTGTGCCTAAACTTTTGACAGTTGTATCTGGTAAATGATCTAATCATGGTGAGCTTTTAATTGCTTTAGCCTGAAAAGTTAAATGATTGTAGATACACAGGTGCTGAGTTGGTGTAGAATGGGATCGTGAGACAAGCTTGTGAGATGTCCTGATTATTGTAAGCACTGGAATGGGTGAGTACATCTTTAGACAGTGAAGTTTATGTTCTGTATCTTTATCTATTGTAAGATTTTATAGGCAGCAGGTTTGACCTTTTATTGAAGTAATAACTTTCATTCATTTTCTATTGTGAATGAAAAACACATTTTGTGTCTGAAATATAAAGCACATAAAATGGTTTAAAAGAACCTGAAGAGGGAAATAGTTCTGCGTTTTGCAATACTTTATATGCCTTTAGCAGTTTAGGAGCTCATATTGGATTTAATGCAATGCTAGCGTTTCTAGGAGCACTACATCTCTGCTTTCTAGAACAGGCATCTCTGTAAATTCGTCTGTGTACAATACGTATTCGCTGCCGTGGGAATGTACAAAACCATCGAAATATACATCGAGGACTCAGAGGGACTGCTTATTTTGTTTTCAAGTACCCATATCTGAAAACTCTGGCAACCTCCTTTGGAGTTCCAACAATGGAAAACAAATTCTCTGAGTCTAAGGAAAATCATCAAATGATGCTTAAAAATAGGTTGAGCACCACAGTTGACACTGTTTGGTAAATACGGAGACACAACTGTAACTAGCTGCCTGCAATACCTGATGCAGCAAAGGCACACTGTTAAAGAGGGCTAAACTCACATTTTGTACTTAGCAATCATCTCCACAAGTAGTGTAAACACGGCATAGATGTTCATGTTCTCTTTTTATTTTTTAACTGATTATAGTTACTGATTTTCTTTGTCTACTTATTGTTTTTAAAATTGTCTTCAAACCTGTGTGTTATGTATTGCTTAAAGCAATAGCTGCCTCGGGCAGCATGCACTTTATTTCAGAAGTCATTGATTGAAAGATAGTTGGTATGTTCATACATACATATATACATATATATACATGCACATACACACACACATGTATATATATATGTATATATATATATATATATATATATATATATATATATATATATATATATATATATATATACACATACACACACACACACACACACTCACTCTGCTTCAATTTAATTTAAAAATGATTTTTAAAGCCTGCTATCCTATCTGTAGCGAATGAGCAACTGCACACCATTTACTAATGTTTATCAGCATTCCTGTGGTTTAGGATTGCCTTTCCTTAACCCATCACAACACATATATACTGTAAGTACATCTAAGTGAGAAACGCTGGGCCACACTACCAGGTCTAAGGCGTGAGGTTCTCTTTAAGTCTTACACCAGGTGACATGGCAGGTATGTGCCTTTCTGTGTGTTTAAAGTGTTCTTACTGATGTCGGTGGCTTTACGGATTGCCATGAAATGTGCCTTCCTTCCATAGCTAGGCTGGGATGTTTGTGTGTGGTATGGTTTTAAATACAACTTATATAATATAATCAGGACAAGACGGAGTAAAATATATCTGTTTAGCTAGTGTCCAAGAGCACTTAATACTAAGATCTAGTGGTCACCTAAATGACAAAGCTTTGGGTGAATTTTAGCAGTGATCGAAATTAAATTTATTAAAGAGAAAGAGCTGTGTGCTTCCTAGCTGCCATTTAAAGTTGCATTTCATTTTTCCATTGCAGGTTAGAAAACAAAAGAGGTTTGAGAGAAGTGTGCAACACAGGCAGTTATTCAAACACTTTGTATTTTAGTAGTCTGAAATCACTGAAATGCTATTTAAAACCACTTTATTACAAACCTGCTTATATCACTTTTTTTCTCCTGATCAGAGGAAATTGTTCTATGTTTTATGATGTCTTGAAAGACATGTGACTTCTAAATATTACTTCTAAATATTACTGCAGTGTTAAAAATGATGAATGTCTAGGTTCACACTACATTACAGAACAGGATCAATTTAACAGGGTTGTTATTTAGTGCCCTTTTACGTATATGCGGTATACTTTGTATTTGGCAACATGCTTTTGACACCTATCATGTGTAATCATATTTTATTCTGAAGTAGTTTTAAAGGATCTCAGCTCATCCTTTTGATTACTGACCTATCTAAATGATCCAGGTTCTTTGGCTGATTGGATTTAGTTAGTGTCTTAGCTAGGTTTAATCATCCAACTAACCTATGTTTGTCATTTGTGTCAGTATTTAAAGGTTAATATTTGTGGACTATAAAATCCTTGCTCTAACAGTGGTTCTGTTACCATGCACTCACCATCTGATGGAGGAGCCAGATTTGACAGTTTTGGACTGAGTGAGTCCTGTCCTGTGTTCGGTTATTAAATTCAGAAGGAACATCCATTGGCCATGTTGACTCTCATTCATCCTTGAGTTGATTTGCATCAGAAAGTGAGGCGGTTTTTCTAACAAACCTGATCGGTGTTCTCCCTGACACCAACCAGTCGGTGTCGGGCTGCTCTCCATCAATGCCATATCGTACAACTGTTTAAGTGTACAATTACACTTAAAAAATAAAGTTACAAAATAGAGTATCATTTATGATTAGGCTGTGTTGAGGTCAACAGCTAAATGTGAACAATGGCTTCTGAGAAGTCACACCCAGAATTTTCTTTTTAATGTTGTAAAATCTGTACACAATTGATTATTCCCTTACCTATAGAAATAAAGGATCAAGCTCTCATGGCACATGGGCCACAAGGCCACATGACCCAAGGTTGGTAGAAGGTTGTCATTGATCTTAAGAGTGTGCATTGTGTGTAAGGACTGGCGGGTTAAGCTGGTCATACACCAGTAGAATCTCATCCAAAATGTTCATTCTTGGACCATTTGTTTAATTTTTTTTTTATGGTTATTAGAGTCAAATCAATAGTCACTTTCAACTGTAGTAATGAGAACATTTTTGAAGTAGCAGGATGGAAAAATGTTTTTTCTCCAAGAAAGAAAGTTCTAACTAAAATCATACATATTATAATGAAACCTGTTTGATAAATCTGGTATTCTATCGAATAGCAGGACTAGATGAAATTAAGGTTTTCAAATGAAATTATTTGGTTCAATGATGGCAAGAAAGAATGTCCTAACAAATGATTTTTCTATGAACGTTCAAATGAAAAAACAGTGTATGGTCAGCTGTACTTCACTGCCTTATGTTCTTGGTGGGAGGTTTGTTTTCACTCTTGCAGCTTTATCCAGCTAATCAATCAATCATGTAATATAAGGGAGATCAGTGAATGCCCGGTGAGCATTTTTTTTGTTTTATTACAGTGGCACTGGTTGATTTCAAACATCAGGCACTATGTAAGCACTCCAATGTTTCTGAATAGTGCACTGTTGAGAGAGGTTATTCATAGAGAAGCTGCTGTATAGTAATGTTATGAAACAAAACCGTTTTGCTATGCTGTGTAATTCTGCCCACAGAAGATGCAAGTTGGCAAATGACCATTTACTTTGTTTGAAAAAAAAAAACATGATTGTTGACTTTAAACATAAGTGTATTTTTTACTTGGTTGTGTAAAATTGCATTGCTAGCCATGGTTTTAAAGTGCCTGGCATTACAGCTGGGTCCAGCCAGTAGCCCAGCCTCAACATAGTCTTCTTTGGAGTAGCAATTTACTGCTGTAGTCATGGTGTTGGTGCTCAGGGACACCAGAAGTAATGCGTTTGTAACTCTTTAGGGAGTGAAGCAGGCTGTATTGCCACATACAATTCTCAATGTCCACAGGAAGGCCATAGTGCAACCTTCCCCCTTCTTTTCTGATTTCGTATGAATAGAACCTGGCAAGTTGGTACATTGCAACTCTGACAGTTTAAATGCCCTCTATTTTAGTATGCATTTTCTTTTTGTCTTATTTGCATTAAAAAAAATTCTAACTTTAGGTTATAATCATAATGGACTTTTACCCCGATCTGCCAATGTATTTAATGTAAGTAAAAACAGAAACTGTGTGTGTATAATAAATGAACTTAGCTTCTTAAGTTGTCTAATTTCTTTTTTTTAAACACATTTTGTTTAAAAAAAAAATGTTTAATACATTTTTTTTTTTTTTTTTTTGCATTATCTTCATTTTTCATTGTTATTGATTTTATAGTACTGTCATCTTCTTGGGCACTGTACAATGTAAGACTAACGTGGGTAATACTGATAAAATTGCATTAAATGTTACCAAAAACAAGGCAAGATGTATAACACGTACAAACATTCATCAGCAAGATACAATAAAAATGAGAGCCCTGCCTGTTCTTTAGGATGAAGGGTAAAAACAAGAGCTAAGGGAATACATAAGTTTTATATGATGATAGCAGGTGTC